GTTTGGATTTTTGCATTTGTATAAACATCAATAATTACGCTAGGCAGTGTACTCCTAAAAACAACATGTTGGCCTGGGTCGTTTTAGGTCAGTAGCCTGCCTCGACCTGTAAAAAGTCAATGGAAGATGCACAATGCGATTCTTGTTATCAATAAATTAAGAATGAGTACCAGAAACTACTCCATACAACAATCTCTAATGTGATAAGATAGGTTGGTTTTGACCTTGTTCTAACCCTCATACCTGACCATAGGTCAATGAAACTTTTTATTCAGTTGTTCTATTGCCTATGAAACTATCACAGATGTGTATGACTCCGTCTAACACTACTTTGCTGCATCAGACTGAACGATTCCCTAGGAATGGCCTTCGCTGAAAACATGGCCTGACTCTGACCTGCCATAGGTCAGTGGACCCTAAATAATAGCATCCAAATGTTTGACCCCAAACAGTCGGATCGTAAATTTTCTTCAACTATACAAAATAAGAAATCATTCTGGAAAACCTTCGGGGGTTCAAACTGACCCCGAGCGTGTGTTCAGTACCGCGACGTGGAATGACGAACAGCTACATGATGATGGAACAAAATCGTCTCTGGAGTGACCGTTTAACAAGCCTGAATACCCTGACGACAAACCAGTGGCTTCAATTTGTATAATCCTATCACTCGTGCATTTGAGAGTTAGCTCCAACTTAGGACCCTGTCTAATACGCACAGGGGTGAAAAGGGATTTTATAACTTCTCGTACCGACGCTTCAATTACATGTCATGGTTGTGAACAAAGCAATGCCTTCCGTTGATTTTGCTGTGATTCCCAGATCAACACGTGCACAATGGTATTCATGGTCAACCTCCTTAGAAACAATCTGTTCTCTGTCAAATTGACGATGCCAATTATGTAATTCGTTTGCAGATTTTCGATTCTTCATACCATCATCGTTCGCGAACCAAAAGATCTGGAGGAGTTGGCGAACTCAGAAGCCAGGATCATGCTGCTCTACTCTACCAAGTAAGTAGCATCGGTCTCCAAAAAGCCCCAGCTGTTTCTCATTGCTCCCCGGGCAGGAGATCGGAGTCAAGTGCTCATTCGAGGGGACCAACTGTTTTACTTGTACGTACTTCAGAGGGCATGCTCGTTTTATTAATGCGCTCGGTCGGTCCGTAGCTGTTTTAATATAATTTGTTTTTTGCTCCTTAGAAGCTCCTGCTATGCACCTAGATTAGAAGCGTTAAGAGATCAGCGTCGATAGTCAGCTGTCCGAGGGTTCATGCACACATCAGTGTCCATGTCCCGGTCAGCAGACCCGTGTCTCCATCAGTGTCCATGTCAATGTCAGTGCATCCGTGTCCCCATGAGTGTCTATGCCCCGGCCAGCGAATTTGTGTCCCTATCAGTGTCCATGTCACTGCCTGCGGATCCATATCCCCATCAGTGTCCATGCCCCAGCGGACCCGTGTCCCCATCAGTGTCCATGATGTATCATCAGTGTCCATGATGTGTCATCAGTTTCAGCGGATCTCAGTGCCCATCAGTGGATTCATGTACACATCAATGTCTATGTCCCGGTCAGCGGACCCGTGTCCCCATCAGTGTCAGTACCTCTGCCAGTGTGCCCAGTCCCCACTTATCACGCTAGCCGCCGACACCAATCTTGTCACCCGCCCGCGCCGTCGACCGACACCAGTCCTGTCACCCGCCCGCGCCGTCGGCCGACACCAATCCTGTCACCCGCCCGCGCCGTCGACCGACACCAGTCCTGTCACCCGCCCGCGCCGTCGACCGACACCAGTCCTGTCACCCGCCCGCGCCGTCGACCGACACCAGTCCTGTCACCACCCGGCGACGACCGACACCAATCCTGTCACCCGCCCGCGCCGTCGACCGACACCAGTCCTGTCACCCGCCCCGCGCCGTCGACCGACCCAGTCCTGTCACTCACCCGCGCCGTCGACCGACACCAGTCCTGTCACCCGCCCGCGCCGACACCTGAGACCCGTGTTGTCACCTACCTGCGCCGACGACTGACACCAATCCTGTCACTCAGGCCGCGGCGCCGACCGACACCTGTCCTGTCACCTGCCCGCGCCGTCGACCGACAACAATCCTATCACCCGCCCGCGCCGTCGACCCCCCGGACAACCAGGTCCTGTCACCCGCCCGCACCGACGACCGACACCAGTCCTGTCTCTCGCCCGCGCTGTCGACCGACACCAGTCCTGTCACCCGCCCCGCGCCGTCGACCGACACCAGTCCTGTCACTCACCCGCGCCGTCGACCGACACCAGTCCTGTCACCCGCCCGCGCCAGACACCTGAGACCCGTGTTGTCACCTACCTGCGCCGACGACTGACACCAATCCTGTCACTCCAGCCGCGGCACCGACCGACACCTGTCTGTCACCCGCCCGCGCCGTCGACCGACACCAGTCCTGTCACCTGCCCGCGCCGTCGACCGACACCAGTCCTGTCACCCGCCCGCGCCGTCGACCGACACCAGTCCCTGTCACCCGCCCGCGCCGTCGACCGACACCAGTCCTATCACCCGCCCGCGCCGTCCACCGACACCTGTCCTGTCACTCACCCCGCGCCGTCGACTGACACCCATCCTGTGACCCACCCGGGGCGCCGAGCGGAGTACTGGCCTCTCTGAGGTACCAGCCGACGCACCACACACCGGCTGACGGAACGTTCCAATCGCACAACTGGGGAGGCGCGGCACTGGCACTAGCCCCTCTGACTGCTGCTGTTCTGACTGACGACTGCGTGCGGCTCAGCAATGACCGCGCTTGGTTTGTGTGAGAGCATGCTGTTTGCTGACGTCAGTGAATGTGATGGCCACGAGTGGGCCTGACCATGGACAGTTTTTAGTCTCAGCTGCCCGGCCCTGCGCAGCCGTCGTTCGTTGCATGATTTTTGCAACTTCTAAGTACACATTCATGCATTCTGTGGCAAAGGGCGGCAAAGTTCCAGATACCACCCGCAAGGTGCTACATGTTTTTGAGGACGCGTGCTGGATGTGGCTGAGGATGACTGTCGTATCGGTCAAGTGGGCGTCACGGTGTGAGCCAAGTGACGCGCAACTGAGTGCAAACCACGGACCCACCGATGTCGGCTGCTTCTGTGCTTATCGCTAGATCGCGGCAGCCACAGCAAGCGTGGACTTAGAACAAACTGCATCGTTAGGCGAATATGCGGTTTACAAATCACCTGCACAGCTCAGCACCACCTGGTCCACAGGAACAACAGCAGTTGACTGGGAAGCGGTCATCGCTGCCTTTAAAGCCTCCTTTGCCCTTTTATTCCAAATGCAAGTCCGAGGGACCTAAAGCATGGAACACGGAGCCATGAAAGTCACGAACGTGTACACCACCATGAAAAATGGCCATCACGCAATTATCATGTTATAGTGGTTAGATATGTTGAGCCCAGTCAACGCAAGCGCAAATCGATGCAAGATCGCCACTTTCGCAGTAGTGCCATCTCTTCACACACTGTACGCGAAAGACGAGTGCTGCGGTAACGCTGGTGCCTGATATTAGAATCTGAGCTCATAGAGACCACACCATGGTGGTGCCCTGCAAGAATGTTCAGGATAGTATGCATTGTCCATTCGTGTGTGCTTACAACGTGCACATTTTATGTCATCTCAAGGCATGACGCGTGCTGTGGCCGAGCCGACAGGAGTCCAGTTAATTCAGCTGCTTCTCTGTTACTCGTGTAATGCTCACACCGGCCCATTGCCTCGTCCGTTTTCACAAGGGGCCAAAGAAAAATGTCGTAATGTTACTGAACAGTGAAAAGTAGGAGAGAAGGGAGAGAGAGAGAGAGAGAGAGAGAGAGAGAGAGAGAGAGAAGAGAGAGAGAGAGAGAGAGAGAGAGAGAGGAGAGGGAGAGAGAGAGAGAGAAAGAGAGAGAGAGGAGAGAGAGAGAGAGAGACGAGAGAGAGAGTGAGAGAGAGAGAGAGAAGTGAGAAGGGAGAGGAGGAGGAGTTGCTAATTCTGATGTCGTGTTTCTGGTGACCTCCGTTTGCGCTTCCGCATCCCCAGACAGCCCCTTCTCCGCGCCCCACCTCCTGCCCAACACACCGGCTGCCGGAGCCGGCTCAGGATATCGCGCCAGCCGCTCTGGGACGCCGCTCTACACCTGACCGGTTCCCACCAGCAAACGGTGGTGCCAACAGACCGTTGAACATCGCATGCCGCCGCCACTGCAGGGCTTCTTGTGGCTCTGCCCGCTCGGCGCGCACGTGGGGAGAAAGCATGAGTGGTCGACTTGTGTACACAGGACTGGGAAGGGCTGGTTTGGGCCTACCTCCGTGTTTTGTTATATCAGATGAGGGAAGACCTTCGGCACATTTTCTTTGAAGGTGGTCATGTTGTGCCGAGTTAAGCAGGGCACGTCACGGACCGTGACCCAGTCCATAACAGCCAGAATATGGCAGCTCATTTCACGTGGCGTTCATTCGTGTGTCCATCATGGCGCCCAGTTCGCGCCGTACACCCTCAACCGGCGTCAGCGTGGACTGCGGCACATAAAGCGGCGGGCCTTGGTGCTCTCAGCAAACGGACGGCACACGTTTGGAGCTGAACGCTATGCAGCTTGCGAGACGCAGGGGCCGGTAGTGGGCTTCTGGTCGATCAAGGCGTACAAATGACGCATCTGAACGGCTAGTCGCACAACAATGACCGCTATTTGTCTTTGGGCGTGAATTACGACATCGCTGTTGGCACATGGGCCGTACCGTTGGAGCCTGAGTAGCGAACGAGCCGGCTATCGGTGTCCGCGGTGGTCGGCAGGGTCTACCACTGCTTACACTAGCGATCGACAGTCAGTCATTAAAATGTTTAACCGATGCATTTGTTCTTGCGTGCATGCACATGATGGCCAGGCTGAGTGCCGCCGCCCGGACTGAGTGAAGCATACAGGTGGCAGGGCCGGACCTGCAGGAGTCTCGCACCGCGCTGCCGAGACCTCTGCTGAACGTGAGCGTGCTGTTCCACAGGGATGAGGCCAGGGACATCATGGAGACGGCTGAGGCTCTGGAGATCACAGGCAAAAACTACGTGTGGATCGTCACCCAGAGCGTGATCGGCAGCGACCTGCTCACTCTGACGCACTTCCCGGTCGGCATGCTAGGTCAGTGGACCTGGCACTCTCATCTTCCCGGTTGGCATGCTGAGCCAGTGTACCTGGCACTCTCACCTTCCCGGTTGGCATACTAGGTCAGTGGACCTGGCGCTGCCGGTCGGCATGCTAGGTCAGTGAGCCTGACGCTCTCACCTTCCCGGTCGGCATGTGAGGTCAGTGGACCTGGCGCTCTCACCTTCCCGGTTGGCATACTAGGTCAGTGGACCTGGCGCTCCCACCTTGCCGGTCGGCATGCTAGGTCAGTGAGCCTGACGCTCTCACCTTCCCGGTCGGCATGTGAGGTCAGCGGACCTGGCACTCTCATCTTCCCGGTTGGCATGCTAGGTCAGTGGACCTGGCGCTCTCACCTTCCCGGTTGGCATGCTAGGTCAGTGGACCTGGCGCTCTCACCTTCCCGGTTGGCATGCTAGGTCAGTGGACCTGGCAACTGTCAGCTGGATGCATTCGATCTGGCCGGCTGGAACACTTGCAAGGAGAGAACTGGTCACAGCAGCCATAGCTGGCAGACAAAGGTTGTCGCGCAGTTGATCTGCAGTTTGGGGTCCACGACGACTTAATTTCTTTGGCCGTTCTACTCACCTTAAAGTGGCGAAATTCCAACGTTTGGAAGGAAGGCCGTTGATACCTAAAGTTAGGGCAAAAGCTTCGGACTAGGCCTGCCTTGCTTTGTTTGTTATAACTAGCGGGCAATGGCGTTGTCCGGCTCATTTCGTCTCGGAGCAACGTACAAGGAAAGAGCGCATACAATGCATATAAGCCAGCAGTCATATAAACATGAACGTCGGAAAGCGCTCAGGCAAACTCGTGTGAGCTCTACGGCAGACAACTTGGACCGTGGCTGCTTTGGCAACTTCTCAGTGCCGAGGACGATCGGGTGGGTTCTAGCAGTCTGAGTTATGCTTTACATATAGGTCGATATGTGGCGCCTGAGCAGCATGAGGAGGCCGGTCTCATGGGGAGAAGGTCCTGGCCTGGCCGTGCTGTGCGGCCTCCGCGATTGCCGGCTTGATCTGGCCACTGCACTGAGACCGTGTGATGCGCGCCTCGCTGTCAACGACGGCATCCTGGTATGCGGCCCTCGGATGGCCACTCTTCGCGGCCTCCACACAAGGGGCGCCGCGCGCCTGCATGGCCCGTATCACCGAGCTCACTCAGCGTCGCGCCCTCCGGTCCGTGTACTGGCCTGGGACCGACCGCCACGTCGGCCGATCACGTCGGCTCACGCCAGGCATGCCGTTAGCGGTTGCCTAAGTCATCAGCGTGAGCCGCTGATGTTCGGCCCAGCCGATGCAAGTCTTCGAATGCGTCCATCTACTTCTTCAGTCACACAGACAGATCTACCTGGTGTAGGTCAGCCACCTCTCCGGGAGGTATGCTGTTGTGCACCGTAAAGGCGACGCCGCCACCCGGACGCTGGTCCGCCACCTGCGATACATGTTTGCCGCGACAAGGCGTTCCCTGCGTGCTCCGGAGCGGTGCCAACCGGCAGTACATCTGTCATCTGCCACTGGCAGCTGGGCAGTACATCAGTACACTGTCCGTCACACCTGAGACTTCATGCGGCGTTGGGGTGTGGCATACACCGTGCGTCTCTGCTCTACTTCCATTGAGACAGCCACGTCAGGGCACAACCAAACTGATCGAAAGCTAGCGCAAAAAGTGACCCCATCATGTGACCTGGACTCCGTTGCGTTCGCCCGTGAGCCGTTCGACATCTGCAACACGCCGAGGGCCGTCACTGGCCGAGCGTCTCTGCAGTCAATCCTCTGCACTGGGCGGTCCCCTCCACCATCCTCTGCACTGGGCGGGTCCCCTCCACCATCATCTGCACCGGGCGGTCCCCTCCACCATCCTCTGCACTGGGCGGTCCCCTCCACCATCCTCTGCACTGGCGGTCCCCTCCACCATCTCTGCACTGGGCGGTCCCCTCCACCATCCTCTGCACTGGGGGTCCCCTCCACATCCTCTGCACTGGGCGGTCCCCTCCACCATCCTCTGCACTGGGCGGTCCCCTCCACCTCCTCTGCACTGGGCGTCCCCTCCACCATCCTCTGCACTGGGCGGTCCCCTCCCCATCCTCTGCACTGGGCGGTCCCCTCCACATCCTCTGCACTGGGCGGTCCCCTCCACCATCCCCTGCACTGGCGGTCCCCTCCCACCATCCTCTTCACTGGGCGGTCCCCTCCACCATCCTCTGCACTGGGCGGTCCCCTCCACCACCGCGCTTTCGCACCTGAGTACGAACGCATCGCGGACGACTGTGATGCCCGCGCCGACCTCCTCAGGGAGGCCGCATGTGATCGTTATGATCGAGCGTCCAGGCCATTACCCCGCCGGCGTGCTGGTGTCCATGTGTCCCTTCAGGATCCGTTGACTGTGTTGTGGGACAGGCGAGGCACGTTTGTAGGTTTAGGTCCATTGCGTGGTTTTCTCGTGAAACTTCCCAGCGGCCGCACCTATTAGCGTAACCGCTGTTGCTTCCGTCCATTTCGCCCGCTAGTGCCACATGTGCTGATCAACTGGCCCACAGTCGGGCTCCCTCCCCACCCCCGGCGCCGCGTCCCCCAGTCATCCGCCGCAGCGGCAGGCGAGGCGCTCGCATCCCACCGCCCGTCTTACCTGGACTCCAACCTTAACACCTAAGCCTCTGACACTCACTGGCCTCATGTGCGCGTGCCAAATGTGCGGCGCACGCGCCGCACCGTGCGATGCCCGAGCCTTTATGTGCCGCACCGCGCGATGGCCCGAGCCCTTATGCACCGCACCGTGCGATGCCCGAGCCGTTATGCACCGCGCCGTACGATGCCCGAGCCGTTAGTACGCACCGTGCGATGCCCGGAGCCGTTATGCACCGCGCCGTGCGATGCCCGAGCCGTTATGTACCGTACCGCGCGATGCCCGAGCCCTTATGCACCGCACCGTGCGATGCCTGAGCTGTTTGTTCGAGGCCGACGCGACGACCGCCATCTCATGCCATCGACTTGGTGAGCTGGGCGTGCGTGACGTGTGTGTACGTGTATCAGTAGCGTGTGTGAACGGTGGCGGGTAGCTAGAGTAGTTAGTTTGGCGGATGACTGAGGACAGATGGCATGTGACACGGGAGCAGCATGGGGAGGCTTTGCTGCTATGGAGCCGGCACGCCGGCAACAGAATGGCCCATTATATGATCCAAGACGCTGAGACGCCCAACGACGTTGCCAGGGTGGCAGCCTGCCGGCGGGGCAATAGCGCCTGAGCCGTCGGGGAACGCAGAGCCCACCCGTTCACAAGCGCGTGGCTTCCCGAGCCAACAGTGGCCACTGCAACTGAGCCTTGGCGCGGTGCCGGGCGTTGTATGGTTGACAGGCAGACAGTTTGACAGACTCTCCGCATGACTACAGCCGTCTGAGCATCTGCCTCTGGCATTCTCTTCGTGTCCGATGACGGCCAGCCCCCTCGGCTGCAGAGAGATGGTGGAGCGGCTGCCAGGTCGGTGTTGGGGCTGGCGCGCCCCCGTCCCGCGGCGGGCCCCCTCCCTGCAGCCGGCGCCGTCGGGCGCTCCCCCGCAGACCTGTGCTCCGCGCCGCCCCGTCCCGCGGCAGCGGCCCCCTCCCTGCAGCCGGCGCCGTCGGCGCTCCCCCGCAGACCTGTGCTCCGCGCCGCCCCCGTGCCGCCGCCGTCGCCGAGCGGCCGTGTTCCGGCTGCGTCTGTTGTGCGCCGCCCACTCCCGTGGGGCGGACTTCGTATTCCCATCTCCTCCCTACGGACCTCCGGTCGTGATCGCACATCGATTTCCGGCGCATTTGGGCTGGCAGGGTGCCATCGGAGGCCGCTGCAAGTAATCTGCGACGGGCAAATGTCCAATCCAATCTATTGCCCGGTAATGGACCTGTTACTCATTCTCATATCCACCACA